CTTCTCGTTCGCTTCCGGAAAACCCCTGCTGTCGTCATTTCATCCTCGAAATCGCAGAACAACTCGTGAGGAATTCGAAATCTCTCCTCGAACTCGTCCAACAGCAACGGATGGCTCTCGACGTTCTCGCGGTCGATGTACTGGTGCCAGAAGCCCGTACCCCATTCGCCATACCAGCGCGCGTGGCCCTGGCGGTCACGAAAGCGCGGCCGCTCCCGCAAGAAAACCTGCCTTGGACGTCGAAACGCCTGCTGGGAGCCGGCGTCAACATCCTCTTGCGATGACACGTCCTCATCGTCGTCCTCGTCACTGAAGGATCCAGTAAGAAGAGCGGTGTGGATGGCGGCGAGACGACGTACCGTCTCCGCGCGTCGCCTCACCATCGCGTGACTCACACGGCGCGACGTCCGCAGCCTACGCGCCCGCGACTGACGACGTGACCGCAATCGCCAACCACCCGCGTGCATGCATACTGTTTAATCATATGAACTTAAACCCACCACGTCGTGCACACCGCGATGTTCTACGCCAAACCCTGGACGTCGTTAGACGCGCATGGTCCGCGGCTTCCATCGCGCGAGCGAGCGCGCCGTTTCTCGCGCGCGTCCATCGTCGAGCGCCGATAGTCTTCTGTTCTTATTTTAGCAATCTCCCTTTCACTTTTTCAAGCAAGCTAAAAAATGGCCCCAAAATTATACTACTACTAGTAGAATTTTAGCGATCTCCCTTTCAGCCTTAGTCATTTTCGCCTAAGGCGTCACAGAGCGCAACCTCACATATTGAGAGCTCAAAAGTGACATGTATCGGGAATTTCCTGATACGTATCAGAATCGACGATTTTCATACTGTTTGCCCATACGAAAAGTCTGATACGTTGATACGCTGATACGGTATCAGGCTCTAGGTTGGCATCATCACGATCTATGAGTCGTGATGCTGACGCCCATCACGAAATCGATGATTCAGATCATGATGCTATATTGAGTGTATGTAAAGCCTATCATTTGCTGATATTGACGGGTATACCTCACTGATAAGCATCACGTGACTGATAATACGCTATGTCGGTACCGGTTTCGAGGAAATACAGCGATGATAAGTAAATTGTGTCACTGTTCTAACCCTAGCACCCCCCTCGAAGAGAGCCGCTGCCTGCTTGAAATTTGAACTTTGCGAAGTTCGCGCGCCAAAATCAAGTCACGATCGATGTCTACTCCGCCCCCTTCGTCTACGTCTGCGCCGTCCGATCGGGCGCCCGCGCCCGCAACGAACATCGTCGTCGTCGAAGACAGCGAGCAGGACACGTCGAAGCAGGCTTCGGGCACAACGCCTGGGAACTCGCGCAAAAGCATCGCGACGTTCTTTGATCGTTCGCGAAGGCGCCGATCGCTGCAAGCTATGCGTGAGTCGCGGCGACGAGAAGTGCGCGCACGCGCGTAAGACCGAGCGTTCGGACGACCGCGTGACGCGCGCGAGCAAGCGTTCTCGGCGAGATGCACCCAATTGAGTATTATACCGCTATTTAGTCTATCATGTAATTTTTTATATAAATTCGGACATTTGGACAATTTCCTCCAAGGTCGCATCACGATCCATGGGTCGTGATGCTGATGCAGATCACGAAGTTTCGGGTCGTGAGGGAGATCGTGATGCCAATTTTACCCAACCTAGATCAGGCTGAAAAAGAGATTGCTAAAATTCTACTAACTGCGGTTAGTAGAATTTTGTTAGGATTATTGCAGGCTAAATACGGTTATATAGCCTTCCCGAGTCCTGAGTATGTCATGAGTTATGACTCATGACGTGTAGACTCAAGTTAGAGTCACCAGGCTCGCTATTTTTAATCATCATCAGATCTTTACGCACAGAACGCGCTACGACGCGATCACCACGGGACCTTAAGCTTACATCGATCGATGTTGCTAAACAACTCTCTTCGTTGTACCCGCGCGGGTGGTAGGTGTTTCGCGTTAGCACAGGTCGTTCGAGTTGCGCAAGATCTATTTTGGGGAGACGAAGAGTCACCAGAGATCATGTTCCTTGCACATGACATCGCTGTGATCGCCATGTTGGGCGAGATCACTCCCGCAAACACTGTGGAGTTTACGGATCTAGTCTGCGAGGCGTTGATGTACCGACTCAAGTCGTCAGCGGGCCAGGGCAGACGAAAGGAGAAAGCATCCACGGCCGCGCTTGCGGCCGCTGACCTCCTCAAATTGGTTATCGATTCAAGATTTAGATCTGAGTCGATAGGGTTAAATGAGATTAAAGGCGTTGTCCAATCTGTCGATCCCCAAATTAGGCAGAATGCAGAATGTCAATTTACAAGGGTTATGCTCAGCGATATATGACAGTTGAGTCAAGAGTGCGCAGATTATGCAACAGTTTCTCTGCAGGACACAGGAGGTGAGTTATTTGATTTTACCTTTGATTAAAGGAACCCCCAGGAAGTTCGTGGTTGTTGTGCCGAATGCGGTGTTGCAAAAGGCAACCAGCAGGAAGGGCCACGTAAAATTTACCAGTGAACTTATTTTTGACCACAGTAGTTATGTGCGCAACATTGACGCACTAAAGGCGAGCTTGAACGCCGACTTCAATAACCCGCGGGGCACGCTCAACCGTTCAGACCTGACTGAATGGCTTGGTGACGTAGAGTCATCTGAGGCTGGTGACGCAGAGTCATCAGAGCTTGAGTTAGATTGTGATGTTAACCTCGACGGGGGTCCACACGTGCAACCGGTAGCCGAAGAAATTGTCAAGCAGCGGGAACCAAAAGGGCAACCGCCAGTGCCGACTGAACCTAATCTGTTGGTCACAGATGAAGGAGTCGATTTGTCAGCTGAACCTAGCCTCGCAGATAGAGGCGAAGGAGTTGACGCAGTTGAACCGTTTCAGGAGCGGGATGTAGTGCCACCTAGAAAGCTAGAGCACGCAGGATCATTCCAAAATTCAGGTTGGGCGCCTACTGGGTATGCCATTAGCTCCGAAACGAAGGAAGGAGGCATTGATGAAGGAAAGGAACCCCCAGGAAGTTCGTGGTTGTTGTGCCGAATGCGGTGTTGCAAAAGGCAACCAGCAGGAAGGGCCACGTAAAATTTACCAGTGAACTTATTTTGACCACAGTAGTTATGTGCGCAACATTGACGCACTAAAGGCGAGCTTGAACGCCGACTTCAATAACCCGCGGGGCACGCTCAACCGTTCAGACCTGACTGAATGGCTTGGTGACGTAGAGTCATCTGAGGCTGGTGACGCAGAGTCATCAGAGCTTGAGTTAGATTGTGATGTTAACCTCGACGGGGGTCCACACGTGCAACCGGTAGCCGAAGAAATTGTCAAGCAGCGGGAACCAAAAG